CTATGAAAGAGCGTACTTGAAAATGTTTTGGATTCAATTAAGAAAAGTAATGTCTCAGAGAGCACAAAGACATCTTAAAGACGTCCCTAAAATGTCCACAAACTACATTCGATACGTTTTTTAGACGTCTTCTTACGTCTTTAAGGCGTCTTAAAGACATCTTGAAGACGTCGTATGTTACAAAGTACAAAAGATACGTGCCTGTTTTAGTTTGTTGTAGATAGACGGACATTATACAGGGTGATTGATGGTCGATGGTAGGTTAGACGCTTATGGAAAACGGAATGGTGCATGATGGAATGTTGGATGTTTTTGAAATTTGCATGCCCAAGTTAATTGCTCCTGATCTATTATTCTAATGGCGTTTCCGATTGGTAGATTTAGTGCGGAACTAGTGCAATTTTTTCTATTTCTGTCTTTTTCTCCTACAGGTCGATTAAAAGGATGCAAATACACCCAGTGCGCACTGAATCTACCAATCGGAAACGCCATAAAATAGTTTCAACGATGCGACCTTGCCGCTTATAGTTTGATATTTTAAAGGAGACTCCTTGTATATTATTGGATTTTTCGCTTCGCTATTACTTTCTGATTATTTCTGTATAATACCGTCTATTTCTAGTGATTTTCGTCTTATTAATTAATTTTTTCATTTTTTCTTCGAAACATAGCTCTACACCTTTTCCATAAGTATTTCAGAATGCATCACTTGTATTATTCCAGATTCATCAATTCTATGTAGTTCAGAGTGTGTCAATTTGTATTCCAGTTGTGTAAGTTTAACTTCAGAAAGTGATATTTGTATTTCAATTTTGTCAGTTGTAGTTCAGAAAATGTGATTTGTGTTTCAGCTCGTCAGTTGTATTTCAGAAAAAGTCATTTGTATTTCAGTTTTGTCATTTATTATTTGTAGATCAGAAATTGTAAATTGTATTTCAGAATTCGTCAAATGTATTTCAGATGTTATCAAGTAGTGTATTAAATGAAATTTATAATAGGTCACCTATTTACACTTTGCTGTGTTGATTTGGGAAAATTTGTTCTTATATTATTGTTATCTGAAATACAACAACTGATGATTTCTGAACCACATCTGACAAATTCTAAAATATAATTCCCGTTTTCTGAAATACAATCAACTAATCTTAAATACAATTAACCCTTTCCGAAATAAAATTAAATACTTAATCTGAAATACATTTGACGCTTTTTGAAATAAAATATACGAATCAGAAATACAATTGACTCTTTCCGAAATAGAATTTACTTATATAAATTGCAATTGACGCTTTCTGAAATTAAACTAACCGTTTCTTTCTACATATGGAAAAGGTGTAGTTAAATTTGTATTACTATCTCACTGAGACTTGTTCTACATTAGGGTTGGTCAAAATTAGTAATTGTGCTGCCAGGTACAAAAAATATGAAAAGTGCACTTTTTTGATTTTCCATTTTCCTCTACCTGATGCTAATCCAGCGACCTCATTTAAAATTCATCAAAGAATAATGTTTTAAAAGCACTTATGTCTGAGCATACTTGCCCCTGATGATGGAACTTTCCAGTTCTGAAACATGTAGGGCTCTATAAGATAATTAAAGTTTATTTGTGGAGGAAGACTTGGTGTTTTTCTTTGAAAACTAAATTTCAACTACTACTTCTTCATTCAATTTAATATTATAACAATTTATTAAGCGATTTTTCAGGCACTAGTGTGTAAATATCTACCAACTTTTTATTAAATCCGCGCTTAAATTTCTTCTCTCTATTTTTCACTTCTTCCAAAAACATGAATGTCCTCTTGTCCGCCGCATTTTTCTCAGTTTTTCTACACTTTTCTCTATTCAATTTTCAGTTTTTGCAACTCAATTTTTGTCCATTCCCGGCTCTTGAATTTTCTTTTTCCTCTAAACTTCTCTAAATAGAGAAAATTTAAGTGCTTGAAATAGAAATGAAATACTTTGTGTACTAGATTTTTGTCGATTTCTCTTGAATTTCTTTTCTTTATTTCTCAATTTTTCCCGCGCATTTTTTGTTTGTTCCGGGCTCTTGAATTTATCGAAGAAGAAAATTCGAGAGCCTTGCTAGCTCTTTCTTGCCTACCATCTACTTCTCAATTTTTTTACATTTCTCTAGTCTATTCCCGACTCTTGAATTTTCCTTTTCTTTTAAATTTCACTAAATAGAGAAAATTTATGAATTGAAATATGTACTTTGTATACCAATTTTTGCACAACTTCTCTTTAACTTTTTTTGTATTTCTCAATTTTTCCCGCTCAATTTTTTTTTATTTTTGGCTCATGAATTATTTGTGGGAGAAGAAAATTCAAGAGCCTGGAATAGAAAAAATATGAATGTGCTGTTATCTACCATTTTTTCTCAACTTCTCTACATTTCTCTAGTTATTTGTCAGTTTTTCCGTCTCAATGTTTGTCTATTCTCGGCTCTTGAATTTTCATTTTCTTCTAAATTTCTCTGAACAGAAAAAAAATCAAGAGCTTGTCTACCAAGTTTTTCTCAATTTCTTTTGGATTTCTTCTCTCTATTTCTCAATTTTATTGTCTTCCAGGCTCTTGAGTTTTCGGTTTTTTCTAAATTTCTCATACCTATAGGTACAGAGGAAAAACGTCCGTTGAATTCCTTCTGAGAGTAGTAGGGAAGTAACAAAATCACAAAAACTTTGTTGAAATGCAATTGTATAGTCATTTATCAGTTTCTGTTGATATTTCAATAAAATAGCCCAAAGAAAACACATTTAAAAAAAAATATATAGACCATTTTCTGGTTTAAAATGCAATTTTGAACTAAAAATGGAATTTGCATGACTATTTGTTCCAATTGAGATCGTTTCATTGTTAAACTCAAACTGTACCTACCACATTTGAGACTACTTTTGGATAATGATTTGTGAAGAAGTAAAAAATCGCAGAAAATAGAATTCTCTACATTTCGCAGTTAAAATTTACATAATTTCATTGGTCCTTCTGAATTTCTTTTTTGTTCAAAAACTTTCGATATTTCTTGTCTTCTATTGCCTACTATTGGAATCTAATTTTCTTTCTTTTCTGGATTATTTATTTCTTTCATAGTTTCTAACGACTGAAGGAGATTATCTTCATCATGACGAGTTTTATTTCACTATAAACATCTCATTCAGAAACATCGAAAGTATTAAAATTTGAAAAGTAAGAAACAAGTTTTCCCAAACTATTGTCTATTCCCGGCTCTTGAATTTTCGTTCTTTTTTAAACTTCTCTAATTACAGAAAATTCAAGAGCTTGGAATAGAAACAAAATACATAAGTAGTACGTGTTTATCTGTCTACCAATTTTTGCTCAATTTCTCTTTAATTTTCTGTCCTTATTTCTCAATTTTCTCAGCTCAATTTTTGTCTAGTCCTGGATCTTAAATTTCCTGAAATAACGAAAATTGATGAGCACGGAGTAAAAAAAAAACATGAATGACCTCTTATTTTATGTACCAATTTTTTCTCAATTAGAATAGAGAAACTTCAAGAAAAATAGAGACAAAATATACAGGGTTTTAATGTCGGTGTTTTAGCTCGAAAGTCGCCCTTTTCCAATGTTTTTTTTTTCAAATTTGGCAAGTTTGTCATAACAGAAGATATCTTTTGTCTGTTACCGTTATGAGAGTTTTATTGTCCAGATGCATTATCAAGAAGTCCTTTAGATGAAGGTCAAAATGATAAAGGTAAAGATATTATATTAACAAATGTCTCCATTATAGACTCAATATCAAATAAAAGCTCATGGTCTCTCGTAGGTACTAATAAGACAGATTTTCGACTACAACAAGAACAACATGAAGTTTTAAAGACGGTGAAATCATAATATGTTGTCAGTGAATGGCCTTCTAAACTAATCTAAACAAGATTGTCCTGAGAAATATCTGATTTATCACAAATTTAAAGAAGATTTTGCTGTAATTGACGAAATTTTGACATATCAAGATCGAATTGTAATACTCAAAAATTTAAGAAAAAAATGTCTGAAAGATTTGCACTCTGGTCATTTTGGGGCTCAATGGTTCGAAATCTAAGAGAAAATTTGTCTATATTTGATAAAAAATTAATTTCAACATTGCCGAATCATAAAGAAATTAGAAGAAATATATGATAACTGAAAAGAAACACCAGAAGAAAAATTATGATAAACGACATAGAGCAATAAAGGAGTTGAAGCAACGAGACTTTTTATAATAACAGAAAACAAAAAAGGACAAATTGTTAATAAACGAAAAGATGAACCAAGTTCTTACATGGTGGAAACTGATAATTAAATATTATGAGAAGAAATAGAAGACATTTCACAACCACTACCAGAAAATAATGAGACTATTGAACCGGTCACGATATATCATAGGCCTGATTCTGAACCAACTACATACTTTTATGATAACATAAAAGATCAAAATAAAAGAGATAGACAGAAAAACCACAGCAAACAAGATGAAAGAAATTATACAAGAGACAAAACTAGAGAGAGACGTCTTCCCACTAAATTCATATATCATTTAATGTAATATTTTTTTTGAAATATATTTATTTTCAACAACAATAGTTTTTTACATTGATAATAACAATTACCTCTAATCAGTGCTTTGAGCTCTGGCCTATATACCTATGTAATTGATTTTTTTTTTTGTATGTTATTAGTAATTTTTATTTTTGTTGCGTTTGTAAGGAAGATTTAAGGTGATCTTACCTTTAATAATAAAAAGCTGACCGCAGCCAATGGTATACAAGACAATTTTAACTGGCAGCTAAATTATCCCAAAAACCCTGATCTATTTGTGATTGTTTATCAACTACTTGTGATTTTCAGAATAATTTTGATCATGAGTCAAAAAAACAAATCGTAAAATCAATTAGCATCTAACCAAAATTATCAACATGGAAACATATTTGAAAAACTAAAATATTTATTATTTACGTTTGAAAATCTGGGAATTTTTTTCAGTGCTAATTTTGAAAATACACATTTTTTTTTAGCATCAATTTGCAATTATGTAGTATAAATATAAGTTTGTGACCCACTTTGTCTTTATTCCATAAGGAATGCAACAATAATTATACAAAAGAAAAATGAGCTTCAATCAAATGCAAACGTTATTTCTGGCTATAGTTTTAGTTCTTATAGTGCTAGCAAGTCACTGTGTTAATGGAGCATTTACAGGTAAGATTTTACTCTAGATTCTTTGATGTTATTCAGTGTGATTCTTTCAAATGCCTAAAGTTCCTTTTGTTTTTAGATCCAAACAAATCAGCAACAATTTTAAGACAAAAGAGATCACCTCATGGGGGACATGGTGGAGGTTTTGGGGGTCCCGGTGGTGGTTTTGGGGGTCACGGTGGCGGTTTTGGGGGTCACGGTGGTGGTTTTGGGGGTCACGGAGGTGGCGGCTTTGGAGGTTTCGGTGGCAGAGGTAAACAATTAATTGCATTATTTCTCAGAAAAAAATCATATCTACATTTTAGGTTTTGGAGGTGGTTTTGGCGGAAGAGGTCTAGGAGGATTCAGAGGCTCTGGATTTGGAGGCGGTTTCGTTCCTATCATAATTAGCCCTAGACGATACCGATACAACCCTTACCCGTATTATTATTATTAGAACTTTAGATTTTTATATTATAACTTTATTTATTGAAAATATATGTAATTTCCTATATTACCACCTTTTTTCAGCTCGACAACAATACAAAAGTAGCTCTATCCGGCTCTCATTAAACAGTTAATGCACCAGGTTTTTAATGGACTATAGAAACAAACAAACAAATAAAGTAAAGCTGAGTCACATTTTGCGTTTTGAAATTGTTCAGAATTTCAACAAATTACAAAAGGGCAACAAACTTATAGTTAGATAATACACGTTTATATATTTTCTATACAAAATGAATTTACAATTCAAATATACATAGGCATTTAAATGCCTATCAGAAAACGAACTACCTACCTATATAATTTACTCGATAATATCGGTGTTCTACATAGGTATACATCGTTGTTAGTTACAGTGCTACATTTTGATTGAGGTGAGTTTATTTTTTTGTTGTTTCATCAATAATGCAAAACTATCAGGATTTGCTTGCAAAAAATTAAAAATCCCATAAGATTCATGCAAGGGAACAAAATATAAGAAATTTCAATGACCTCTTGTTAGATGATTTTTGTACCTCTGTTTAATTTTTGCACTAGACCAAATCAATGATTTATTATGGACCCAATGACCCGAGGCGAGTCAAGTGAAAATTTGCATACAAAACAATAGAGAGGTTCCTAGAAGTATCAAATCATCGATTATTTCGATCTCAATCGATTTTTTCTTAAAGGTATTTTTCTTATTGGTTCTTAGTTGGCTTTTCTACAAGGACCTTTCAAAATTGAATAAAACCGATATCTGAAAAGGGTGGATTTATATTTTGTAGTTTTTATTTTCATTACTATACATTATTCATTACTTTAACTATGCTAATGTCCAAAAATAAAAAGTTGGAAATTAAAGAAAATTGGTCAGTAGATCCATCACTATACACCCCAGCTTTTAGTAAGTACATACATGGCAAAAGACAGATATTTACAAATCCTTAGAAATCTTCATTTGGCAAATAATGAAAAGGCATCTATTTTGGAATTTTTAACTCAAAAACTATCAGGAACTCAAAGATGAAACTTTGAGGCTCTATTCTTGAAGGTTTGAAGTAAAATATACCGAAAATTCGAGCTGATCAAATCGCTAATAATAAAGTTTCGAATTTTCTAAATTAGGCAAAAATGAAACCATTGACAAGCCTCTATTTTGAAATTTTTACCTCAAAAACTATAGGAGGCTCAGAGATAAAACTTTGAGGCTCTATTCCTGAAGGTTTAAGGTAAAACATACTAAAAACTCAAGCTGATTAAGCCGCTAATATTAAAGTTACGAATTTTCTAAATTAGGCAAAACTGAATACATTGACAAACCTCTATTTTGGAATTTTTACCTCAAAAACTATCGGGAACTCAAAGATGAAACTTTGAGGCTCTATTCTTGAAGATTTGATGTAAAACATACTGAAAAACCAAGCTGATCAAATCGCTAATAATAAAGTTTCGAATTTTCTAAATTAGGCAAAAATGAAACCATTGACAAGCCTCTATTTTGAAATTTTTACTTCAAAAACTGTAGGAGGCTCAGAGATAAAACTTTGAGGCTCTATTCCTGAAGGTTTAAGGTAAAACATACTAAAAACTCCAAGCTGATTAAGCCGCTAATATTAAAGTTACGAATTTTCTAAGTTAGGCAAAAATGAATACTTACATTGACAAGCCTCTATTTTGGAATTTTTACCTCAAAAACTATCGGGAACTCAAAGATGAAACTTTGAGGCTCTATTCTTGAAGGTTTTATGTAAAACATACTAAAAATTCAAGCTGATCAAACTGCTGATGATAAAGTTACGAATTTTCTAAGTTAGGCAAAAATGAATACTTACATTGACAAGCCTCTATTTTGGAATTTTTACCTCAAAAACTATCAAGAGCTCAGAGATGAAACTTTGAGGCTCCATGTTTGAAGGTTTGATGTAAAACATACTAAAAATTCAAGCTGCTCAAACCGTTAATAATCTAGTTACGAATTTTCTAAATTAGGCAAAAATGAATACATTGACAAGCCTCTATTTTGGAATTTTTACCTCAAAAACTATCGGAGGCTCAGAGATGAAGCTTTGAGGCTCTATTCTTGAAGGTTTTTTGTAAAAATTACTAAAAATTCAAGCTGATCAAACCGTGAATAATAAAGTTACGAATTTTTTAAATTAGGCATTAACGCCTCTATTTTGGAATTTTTACCTCAAAAACTATCGGGAACTCAAAGATGAAACTTTGAGGCTCTATTCTTGAAGGTTTTATGTAAAACATACTAAAAATTCAAGCTGATCAAACTGCTGATGATAAAGTTACGAATTTTCTAAGTTAGGCAAAAATGAATACATTGACAAGCCTCTATTTTGGAATTTTTACCTCAAAAAATATCAAGAGCTCAGAGATGAAACTTTGAGGCTCTATGTTTGAAGGTTTGATGTAAAACATATTAAAAATTCAAGCTGCTCAAACCGTTAATAATAAAGTTACGAATTTTCTAAATTAGGCAAAAATGAATACATTGACAAGCCTCTATTTTGGAATTTTTACCTCAAAAACTATCGGAGGCTCAGAGATGAAGCTTTGAGGCTCTATTCTTGAAGGTTTTTTTGTAAAAATTACTAAAAATTCAAGCTGATCAAACAGTTAATAATAAAGTTATGAATTTTCTAAATTAGGCAAAACTCAATACATTGACAAACCTCTAGATTGGAATTTTTACCTCAAAAACTATTGGGAGCTCAGAGATGAAACTCTGAGGCTCTATTCTTGAAGATTTGATGTAAAACGTACCAAAAACTCAAGCTCATCAAACCGCTAATAATAAAGTTTCGAATTTTCTAAATTAGGCCAAAATGAATACATTGACAAGCCTCTATTTTGGAATTTTTACCTGAAAAAATATCGGGGGTTCAGAGATAAAATTTTGAGGCTCTATTCTTGAAGGTTTGATGTAAGACATACTAAAAATTCAAGCTGATCGAACCGCTAATAATAAAGTTACGAACTTTCTAAATTAGGCAAAACTGAATACATTGACAAACCTCTACTTTGGAATTTTTACCTCAAAAACTATCGAGAGTTCAAAGATGAAACTTTGAGGCTCTATTCTTGAAGATTTTATGTAGAACAAACTAAAAACTCAAGCTGATCAAACCGCTAAAAATAAAGTTACGAATCTTCCTAATTAGGCAAAAATGAATACCTACATTTACAAGCCTCTATTTTGGAATTTTTACCTCAAAAAATATCGGGGGCTCAGAGATGAAACTCTGAGGCTCTATTCCTGAAAGTTTAGGGTAAAACATACTAAAAACTCAAGCGGATCAAACCGCTAATATTAAAGTTACGAATTTTCTAAATTAGGCAAAACTGATTACATTGACAAACCTCTACTTTGGAATTTTTATCTCAAAAACTGTCGGGAGTTCAAAGATGAAACTTTGAGGCTCTATTCTTGAAGGTTTGATGTAAAACATACTAAAAATTCAAGCTGATCGAACCGCTAATAATAAAGTTACGAACTTTCTAAATTAGGCAAAACTGATTACATTAACAAACCTCTATTTTGGAATTTTTACCTCAAAAACTATCGGGAGCTCAAAAATGAAACTTTGAGGCTCTATTCTTGAAGGTTTGATTTAAAACAAACTAAAAATTCAAGCTGATCAAACCGCTAATAATAAAGTTACGAATTTTCTAAATTAAGCAAAAATGAATACATTGACAAGCCTCTATTTTGGAATTTTTACCTCAAAAACTATCGAAGGCTCAGAGATGAAACTTTGAGGCTCTATTCCTGGAGGTTTAAGGTAAAACATACTAAAAACTCAAGCTAATCAAACCGCTAATATTAAAGTTACGAATTTTCTAAATTAGGCAAAACTGATTACATTGACAAACCTCTTTTTTGAAATTTTTACCTCAAAAACTATCAAGAGCACAAAAATGAAACTTTGAGGCTCTATTCTTGAAGGTTTGATGTGAAACATACTAAAAATTCAAGCTGATCAAATTGCTGATAATAAAGTTACGAATTTTCTAAATTAGGCATTGACATGCCTCTATTTTGGAATTTTTACCTCAAAAACTATCGGGAGCTCAAAGATGAAATTTTGAGGCTCTATTCTTGAAGATTTGAAGTAAAACATACCGAAAATTCAATCTGATCGAATCGCTAATAATTAAGTTTCGAATTTTCTCAATTAGGCAAAAATGAATACATTATGACAAGCCTCTATTTTGGAATCTTTGCCTCAAAAACTGTCGGGGTGCAGAGATGAAACTTTGAGGCTCTATTTCTGAAGATTTGAAGTAAAACATACCGAAAATTCAAGCTGATTAAATCGCTAATAATAAAGTTTCAAATTTTCTCAATTAGGCAAAAATGAATACATTGACAAGCCTCTATTTTGAAATTTTTACCTCAAAAACTATCGGGGGCTCAGAGATGAAACTTTGAGGCTCTATTCCTGAAGGTTTAAGATAAAACATACTAAAAACTTAAGCTGATCAAATCGCTGATAATAAAGTTACGAATTTTCTAAATTAGGCAAAAATGAGTACATTGTCAAGCCTCTATTTTGGAATTTTTACTTCAAAAAAAGTCGGGGGCTCAGAAATGAAACTTTAAGGCTCTATTCTTGAAGGTTCGAGATAAAACATACTAAAAATTCACGCTGATCAAACCGTTAATAATAAAGTTACGAATTTTGTAAATTAGGCATTGACAAACCTCTATTTGGAATTTTTACCTCAAAAACTATCGAAAGCTCAAAGATGAAACTTTGAGGCGCTATTCTTGAAGGTTTAAGATAAATACATAATAAAAACTCAAGCTGATCAAACCGCTAATATTAAATTTACGAATTTTCTAAATTAGGCAAAACTGAATACATTGACAAGCCTCTATTTTGGAATTTTTACCTCAAAAAAAATCGGGGGCTCAGAAATGAAACTTTGAGGCTCCATTCTTGAAGGTTTGAGGTAAAACATACTAAAAATTCACGCTGATCAAACCGTTAATAATAAAGTTACGAATTTTGTTGATTAGGCATCGACAAACCTCTATTTTGTAATTTTTTCCTCAAAAACTATAGGGGGCTCAGAGATGAAACTTTGAGGCTCTATTCTTGGAGATTTGAAGTAAAACATACAGAAAAATTGTAAAAACCCATTAGATATGTGCAGAATTTGTAAAAACTACTCAATTTCAATTCAAAACTCTTCAGAAAATTAATTTGAATAGTCATTGGCAATAGCTGTGGCAATAGTCATTTGCTTTCTTTCCTACTTATCAAAAAACCTACCTATGCCTACAATCGTACCTATAGCTATAATGTTTTATAGTCAATTCAAAACAAAGATACTTTTTACTTGATTGAAGAGAACTTATAGGAAATGCTCAAAATAATATATTTATTCAATACAATTTACTTGGGGTGTTCGTACCACAACCACAAGTAGTTTTATCTTATCAAAAGATAATGAAAATCAATTCAGTTTATCATTTGTTGATCCGAAATTCCATTTGATTTACCGTTACATAACATTATATATCATTGATTTTAAAAATACCATAATATCTGTTTAAATCTCGGATTCAAAATCGAAACCACTTTGAAAACAAGTTCAAAAATTAACACAAAAATTTGCGATTCAGCCTCGTATATACTTAATAATAATGAGGCAGAAATAAAATAAATAATAGCCAGCTGCAAAACAAAATGTGGGCTCAGTAGTATAGCGTTGATTAGTGTAATTTATTGTTAACTTAAGTGCTTTTTTGTTTGATAAGATTATTGATTGTCTTGTATTTAAAGGTCTAGTGTTAGTTGCTTTCCTGATGTGAATTAATGTGAATTCTCCCAAAAAATCTTGAATTTTTTAGCCCGATGAAATGAAATTCCTTATTAAAGTCGTCTCAATTTTATGCGCCCTTAATTATTCACATGCCAGTATTCATAAGGGAGGTATACTGTACCCAAGGGAATCTGAAACCAGGCAAGTAGTTTCACTAGATGGAATTTGGAATTTTATTGTGCCAGAAGTCAACAGCTCAAAAAATCCTTTGGTGGGTTTCGAACAGCATTGGTACAAAAGAGAACTCACACAAGTAAGTAAATTCAAAAATTTCCTAGCAAATTCAGTGCCGGTAATAATTCAATAACTAGATACCAGATGTGACAGTCATTCCAATGCCGGTACCATCCAGCTACAATGACATCACAACCGACTGGCGTATAAGAGACCACGTAGGGTTAGTATGGTACGACCGCAATTTTTTCGTCCCAAAGTACTGGTCGGAAGCTGGAAGAGTTTGGTTGAGATTCGAGGCAGTTAGTTATGCTGCTCAAGTTGTATGTAGATTTTTTTGATTGTATGTTGCAAAAATTATTTATGAGGTTTTTTAGTGGATCAATGGGCAAATCGTAATGAGCCATGAAATAGGACATTTACCTTTTTTGGCTGAAATCACTTCTTATTTGAAATATGGCAAAGAAAATAGGATAACTGTTGCTGTTGATAATACTTTATTGCCAGATACTGTACCTCAAGGAAAAGTCATAGAGCTGGAAAGGTTAGTAGTAGTAGTCTATTGATATCACTAGAAATCTTTGAACAAAATATCTTGTTTCAGTGGAAGATTACAACAAACCATAACATTCGATTTTTTCAATTACGCCGGAATTCATCGGCCAGTTAAACTGTACACCACCCCGAAAACTTACATTGATGACGTTACAGTGGTTACAATGGAAGCTACAAACGAAATAGGTTACATTTCCAAAATCTAAAACAATCAAAATGCCTTATAAGTTTATTTATAGCAAGAATAAAATACAATATAACAATCGGAGGCACCTCGGACATGAAATACCAAATCACTTTGTCGGACAATTCCAAAAATGTTGTCGCCAAAAACGAAGACATCAGCGAAAGCCTCGGAACTTTGACAATAGAGAATCCCAACTTGTGGTGGCCTTATTTGATGGATCCAAATCCAGGATATCTTTATTCTATGGAAATAGTATTACTGGATTCCTATGGGGAGGTTGTGGACAAGTATATTCAGCCAGTGGGCTTGAGGGTGCTTTCCTGGTCTAACACAAGCTTTTCCATAAATGGAAGACCGTTATATTTGCACGGGTTTGGTCGACATGAAGATTCGGATATTAGAGGAAAAGGTAATCTTCAATATTACATATTTCTACCAAAAGAATTGTTCTAATTTAGGATTTTTGCGGTAACAGAGGTAGGTACAGTGTTTCCGCTATTTTTATTTCTGGGATTTCTTCTGAGCTCACCATTGAGGATTTCAGGTTCATCTATTTTCTGTTCTAGTTAGACTTTGGAAAATCCATTTTAAGATTTTATAAGTACTTAGGTACATATTTTAAATTGTTGCGGATCCATTTTGGCAGAAATGCTATTGAGGTCTAAATCTTGATTTGCTTAAGAGCTCAATCAAGGAATCAAGATCCGATAAGGTATATTGAGTTCAAATTTTGTTTATTATCGGCTCCTGAAGCTTTTCTAAAGGCGGTCAAGTGCCGGTAATAATTTACCATAATTTCCACTATTACTGTCTGATTTTTGGGGGGTTTATTGAGGAAAAGCCCAATTCGGCAAGCTATATGGGCTGGACAGTATCATAGCTCTGGAGTCTAATAAAAATGACGGATCTAGACTACGCACACTAAGGACAGATAGGAGATACCATTGGAGATAAAACAATAAATGTCCCATGATCGCATTTAGAAAAGTTACGTGAGTCGGGAATGAACCTGTGTGAGTTGTGTGACAAACTGACAATCATAGAATACTGACAATAATACAATGACAACACAAAACTCCCCTTCACAGATTCTCTCCATTTCACCAGTCATATTTATAAAGGTAAAAAGTACAAAAATACCTGATGCTGAATATACAGGGTCGGGCACGAAAAACTTTCCACCCAGGTTTTCACAGGTGTTAGGTGATTAATTAAAAATCGCTCGAACACGTCAATTTTTGTGGGACACATTCTATTGGTATTTCCACCCCCTAGCTGTCAACCCCCAAGTGGGGGTGACAGGTACCCCCTAAATTTCAAATGAAAAGGGAGGTCGAGTGATACGTCATTTGATAGCTATTTTCATTAAGATTATATCCGCGAAGTTTTAAGTTGCTACTATTTACCCTGTCGAAATGGTGGCTTGTCAAAGTTCGGATCTTGTCTTCCTCAGTAACACTATCCTTTTCTTTATTGTTGTTGCGCGTAAAATTACCCTTAAACTGTTTGAATAAAGAATCTGAATTATTAAACCCAATAGGCCTAGGTACAGTAAGACACTTTTAAGGAACGCGGCCAGCGCAACAAAGTGCTCGCGGCTACTCAGTGGTGTGGGAGTAGGTTCAATATTAAAAGTTAGCTTAATAGGGCGCCACTGGTTTATAAAATACAATCTGCGGACTTAAACCAGAAAGTGCCTGATCTCCAAAATTCCTATAAAAATTTACCTACCCAATGTACCTATCCTTTAAAACAACTTTACCTTAGTTTGGTTGAGGTCAGTAGGGATAAAAAAATAAGAGTCCAATCTAAAAACAATGATTATAAATCTATTTAATAAAATGGGGGGCATGTGTTCAAAACTGTAGAGACATTCCAAAATATTCAAAATTTACCAATAAATAAATGTTTGACTACCTTAGTTCAATGAGGGTGAAAGAGAACAAATAATTATTAAGATGTTAATAATATTAATTAAAGCCTGTGCACGCTTATACCATGGTATACCGGGGCGGGTTTGTACAAAAATGTCACCTTAAATATCGTACCTACATTAAAAATCATTGGTACTGTACATACACCCATTGTAATAACTAAGGCAGTAAAACAACCTTGGAAATATACCAATTAAATATCAGAAATACCATCAATAATAATAATAAAATAATTTAAGAAATGTTAATAAATCAACGGGTACATCGCCCCCTTGTTGTCCTCCCTGCAGTTTAAACACCTATTTACATAACTGCTTCAGCACTGCACAGCCCTGATAACAGACCCAATATTCCATTGACTTCCCTTCTTAAAATGTGAATCTCAGTTTCAATTCAGGGTTGTGGGTACTCTTGGCACCTCAACTTCGAGATTAGTAAACCGTCAAAGAGGAAAACCCAATGGTAAAGATTCTAAAAATCCTAAAAAACCTAAAAACCCTGGTTACAATTTGGGCTAGTTGAACAAAACGTGGCTCTGCTCTTCACACGACAAACCAACAAAATGGCGTAGACTTTGTTTCCAGAAAATTCTGTGTGGTTGGCTTACAAATACGGGTACGACCAAATCCAAAGCTTTCACCCCAAAACCAATTTAAGCCAGCAACCACTTGAAATCCCAGCGTCTTCAAAATCCCACAAAAAGGTGGATGTTCCAAGGAATGTTGCCAAGAGGACCGCTGGTGAAATCTGCCAAGAAACTTGTTGCTTGCTCAACGTGCGAATTTAAAAGAGAACGATCCCTTTTCAGCGATTTATTAGGTAGGCTGAATATGAAAAATTTTCTAGAATTTCAGTTTTTTCCTTAAGATATCCTATGGTACCAGATTTCCGATCTCGGAAGACGGAACACCCAGTTTGGCACGGAACACAAACAGCTTGAAACGGAACACTCCAAACCACAATGATGACCAACAAAACTCAAAGTTGTTATCAAATTCTCTCCCCTAACACCAATTAACACTAATTAATCACTTATACAAGTTATTAATCAGCATCTACCTAGTCTTCGGTCTAAAATCTATCAAAACGACCAGTGACTGTTGAGGGATTATAATTACAGTGACCCTATTACCCACAGCGGTCAAGTACGTCGGCAACAGTGCTGCCCGAAACGAATCCACAAGTGGCTTATAACCCGGACTATATTTTTGAAAAAAATAAACATTTGAAAATGTGAAAAATAAAGGAAATAAGGGTGGAAAATCGATTTAGAGTGTGCTAAAGTGATTTGTGTTGTTGCAGAAATTTTAATAAAGGAAAATACGAGATTCGTAAGTGTTGACAATTGATATTTATTTGAAAGTCAACAAACCTTTTCACCGACATTTAGGACCTTTTAGAAAACTTTCGAAAGATAAATAAAATGGATTCCTATCCTAACAGTAGGGCTTTATTATCCTAAAACTACCCTGTCATCTGAATCCAAAGAATTCACTCATTATTACCTTGAAAAATATAACTTTAATCAACAACTAGATATTGTTTTGCATCCAAACAGAAGGTAAAAATCTAGCAAAATTCAATGAGCAACCTATCAATCACTGAAAAACATTAATCCTCAAGTATACAGCTTTATAAATACCCTCTCAAATAACTGAATTCATTCGAAACCTTTAGTTACATTAGGGCAAAATTTTAACGTAACATTGTTAGATTTTTCTTGTATAGTATTGCTAGTATTTTGAATACCTCTTTACCACCAGATTCTTTCTTGTGGTGTAGTAGGTACTAGTGATTTGTGTGTCTTCATCAATTCATCAGTCACTTCTTATATGGTCCTAGTGTATATCAGTATCGATATTTTGAATGTCTTCATCTATATCTTTTTCCAAAAGAACTGCAGGTATATGATCTCCAGTTTTATTAAATAATATAATAGCTCTATAGACAATATTTCCATTTTGTATTTTTCTCCGAAAAATTACGAACTCTAACCCTGTCGCCCCCTTCAAATTTCCTACAATTTTCTTCTTCAAGCGTCGATTTTAAAATTTCTTTTTCTTGTGGAGTAGGTTTCGTTCGGATTTCATAATTCATTAATTTCAAGCAAAGTAGAACATTTGTAGTTGTCTATGTCTTCTTCTATATAACATTAAAAAATTATCCAATTTGTGGTCCAAATCTCCTGGTTCTTTAATTACCTTTGTTTGAAGCATATTCTTGAAAGTACCTTTTGGCTTGACCGTTGGTAGCTGGATGAAACTGTGCGGAGAACCTATGTTTGAGTCCATTACTTTCCAAACAAAGTGAGAATTCAGTTGAGGTGAAGGTTGGTCCATAATCACTCCTGAAAACTAATGGTTATCCAAAATGGGCAAAAATGTTTCGCAATACTTCAATAGTAGTTGAAGTAGTTATTGAAGGTACCAGTACGATTTAGGCCTGCAAAATCAACATGTAAACGTTGCCAAGGTTGTTTTGTTTTTTCCCAAATATGAATGGTTTTTGGAGGTTCATTCTGTACATTTTGAGAACTTATGCACTCTCCTGCTATTTGTTTGATATCTTTATCAATGTTTGGCCACCATATGATTGATCTTGCCAAAATTTTCATTTCGATAATGCCATAGTGGCCGAGTTCGTTTTTGTCATCTTTTTCGTCGTTTTCCTCCAAAATTTTGACAGGCACGTGACTGGATCAGACAGTTTCAATTCACAAATCACGTGTCTGTCAAAATTTCGGAGCAAATCGACGGAAAAGATGACAAAAACGAACTCGGCCAGTCTAACAAATACCATTTTAAAGTCACGTGAGTTTTCTCTATCCTTGTTGAATACATCTCAAACAGCGGTGATAGTGAAATTGACAAAAAAATAAGTGTCTAATTGACGTGTCTCGTAATACCTGGTGTGCGCGCGCAACTCGTGGGTTGCAGGTGAGCGTCCAATGAAAATCGAGTTTGTTACGGGCTTGCGTCATATTCGTATTCAGAATTAATCGTTCCTTCTTTCTTTGTAACGTGTAATTCGACAAAGAGCAAACTAATACTTTACTTATTACTTGAACTTATCGCAGTGTCGTTTAAGGTTATGTTAGATTATACTTGACATATTCCTTTGAAATTTCATTGTGCAATGTTGCCGGATGAAACATTCAACAAAATAAAAGTGCCATCGATGTTACCATACACTTTAAAGCTCTTCTCTTATCTAATTTAAGGCGTTGTGAAACACGTGACAATATATCACTTCTTTAATGTTATAATGTTCGATTTATATTGTCTACATTTGTTCTACAAAAATACAATCTGGCTACACTGCAGCCACGCAGCGCGCATGTCATTTTTTATTACACTCTAACTTATATTTATTAGAATTAAGCTCTCTTTTTCTATTTCTGCGAGACACGTCAATTATTAATTATAAAATTCTTACCTGAAATAGAATCCGTCACTGTCATCAATCAGTTTGTCAA